GAGGGTGGCTGTGCACTGTGGCCAGGGGCAAAGGCTGGTGAGCGAGGTCCAGCGCCTGAGGTATTCGCTGTGTGCCTCACACTGGCTCATCAGCGTGCAGGGATCCTCTAAGGTAGGTACCACCCGCACCCTGAGTCTGCGCACCAGAGCTGAAAACTTCCCTGGGTCTCAGAATCACAGTGAGGCTGTGTCAGCAACACCAGTCAGGTTCATCGCCTTTACTGAGCCTTCTCACTTAGACCCCCCTGCGATTCCACGGGGTGCAGGTGGGGAGGCTGAGGCAGGACAGCCTGTCTGTGGCCACCCAGGGGTGGCGCCCAGATCTGTAGGCTTCCGGAGTCTGGGCTGTGCTGGCCTCAGATTTTTGGAGGACTTTGGGGTCCTGCTGCACCGCTGCCGTCCACACGCAGCTCGTGTGGCACCAGGAGTGAGCATATTTATGGTCTATTTACCATATTTCCACTTCCAGCCGCACCGGAAGTATGGGCATCACCCGCTCATGCTCACACTGGGCTGCAGGGACTCAGAATGACTTGGAACAGTGGCAGAGGCGTCTCTGTCCCTGCTGGAATCTCAGCGGCCCTTTCGGGATCCATTCCACCACTGGGCTTTGGCAGCAGGACTTCACTGAGAAAGGGAACCCAGGTCATAGCAGGTCTGGGGATTCCTGGGTCACAGTGTCCCAGGCCCAGGGATAGGAACGCAGCGAGCCTCTGTCAGCCACCCATCCTGGAGCCTGGGCGATCAGAGCAGAGGACCAGGCTGGGAGGAAGTGCAGAAGCACTGGGACAGAGCTGAAAGGCTGGGGAGGCCGTCCTGGTGCTGGGGAGGGGTGGCAGCTCCAAAGCCTACCGTGCTTGAGTGAATCACTGTGGCAGTGTTGATCTGAGATCTGAAAAACAGGCATGGCTGTGACCTTCGCCCCTAGAAGTTTCTCACAGCAGAATAGAAAGGACAGGACAGGATGGGGCAGGATGGGACAGAGACACTGGCCTGTACGGCAGTGGCAGTTAAAATGGCTCCATGAACTCTGACGTCATTTCCGCACATGCCCAGTAGGTTGCCAGAGGAAGTGCATTTCTCAGTCATTGATGAAATTTGTGAGAGCCACTGTTCCAGGACAGCTTGGGAATTATTGAGCTTTTCTCACCCACTGTTAATTCTCCAAATATGGACACGGGGTGTGCATTTACTGAGCAGAGAGAGAGACAGCAAGGTCTACATTCTCAGAAAATGCACAGGGGGATGGCGAGACAGAACTGTATCAGTGAGCAGAGAGAGACAGAGAGACAGAGAGACAGAGCGTGTCGGAGTTGGAAAAATGCTGTTCCAGGAGGGGGAACAGCATGAGCACCTTCAAGTGGGCTCAGAGAGCACATCCTGTTCGGGTCAGAGCAGAAGTATGAGGTGCCAGCCAAAGGGGCACGAGGAGGTGTGAATCCCGAAGGTTCCAAAGACCACACAGGGATAGAGGCTCCTTGTAGAACAATGGGGCAGAGGGTTTTTTCCTAATGGGATACTGGGCCAGATTGTGGGGTCTCAAGGAAGTGGGTGCAGTGCTGGGGAGCTATAGAGTGTGCTTGAGCTCTGGAGAGCTGTGCAGGAGAAGACAGACTGCTCCAAGGGGGACCTAATCACTATCACATCCTCCTCCCCAGCCTGTGGGTTGTCCGCCCCCTACATTGTTCTCCTCCCCCCACCCAGCATTTGTGATTTTCCCTGAGCACAACCATTTATTTGCCTGGAGGGCAGGGGATGGGGAGGGGGACAAACAAAAGGCTCCTTCATGCCTCCCCAGCCTTGCAGACCTGGCCCAGTGTCACCCCAGCCTCCACCTCCAGGAGGGGGACCCCACAGCACTGGGCAGGAGAGGGCAGGACCTGAGCTGTGGCTGGGCAGGGGCTATGGGAGACCCCTCTTCCTCCTGGCAGAAGCTTCTTGTTGCCAAGGCAACCGAGGCTAGGCACCGCCTCCATGGGAAAGGAGTGGGGGAGGGTCACCCGGGAGCCAGCAGCCAGCCCTCCCCCCCACGCTGACCTGGGTCCCAGCGTCCTGGTGTCTCCTTTGCTAGCACTGCCAGGACAAAGCACCCCGTTGAAGGCTGCTACACCCCAAGGTGATCCGTCCCAGTGCTGGAGGCTAGAATTCCCGCGCGAAGGCTCTGCTGCTGCTGGCTCTGAGGCGGCCTGTTGTCTGCCTGTCCTCATATCGCCCTCCCTCTGTAGGGCACCTGTGTACCGCTCTTGTCTTCCTGGGGGACGCCTGTCCTGTTGGATCGGGCCACTCTAATGACCTCATTTTCTCTCAAGCACCGTGAAAGAGCCTGTCTCCACGCGCAGCCCAGTTCCTAGCCTGGGTCGGGACTTCGCCCAGGGACGAGTCTGTGGGGCCCCTCTCACGGCCTGGGGTCTTGGTCTCCCTCCCTCAGGCACCATCTCTGTGGCTCCATGTCCTTTTCCACCCAGAGAGGTCGTGAACCTGCCCGGAGCCACGCAGCCTGTCCACCTGGCTGGGGCTTTTTCCACTCTCCTGCTGGGGTGTGCAGCCAGCTGGCAGCGGGGCTGGGGCCTGCAGGGTGGGGAGGATCCGTCCTGTCTCCGGGAGGTCAGCGGCCAGCGCTCCGGAGCGCAGCTGTGGGGAGAGGAGCCAGCCTCAGAGTTTCCACCCTGCGCTGTGGGTGGG